AGTTGTTCACTAACCATTTCTTTAAGAATATGTTCTGGATTTTGCAAGGAATCAAAATATATTTCCTGGAACATAATAAGCACTTAATAAATGCTTTTTTGACTGATTTTCACTGGCTTACATAGAATTTACTTATGGCAAATTCCATTTTCTTTCTTAAAAATCAGGACAGCTGTCCTTCTTTAGCCTGTAAATGCCTTTTCTATTTTTCATGACTTCTCAGAATTCATCCCCCACTTCTTTCAATACTCTGGATGTAGTTCATCCGGGACTTGGACTCATTAAGGACAGTTAGGTGATTTCTTACTATTTGTTTCTCATCTTGGGTATTGACTTCCTATTTGTTAGCTTTTTTTGAAAGGCTATTTTCTTTGGTAGAGAAGGTAGTATCAAAATAGGAGAGACAGAGACAGACAGATATGAACAGAGGCACAGAGAGAGGAGAGAGAGGGAGGGAGGGAGGGAGGGAGGGAGAGAGAGAGAGAGAGAGAGAGAGAGAGAGAGAGAGAGAGAGAGAGAGAGAGAGAGAGAGAGAGAGAGAGAGAGAGAGAGAAAGCGAGCACTCTAGCAGATAACTAAAATTCTCCATGCTTCAGTGCCAGACTTGTGATCTCTTTTTTCTGCTTCCTCTTTCTGACCAGGTGATCTGTCATATTGACCAATTATAATAATTTGTCATGTTCTGTTTCTGTTGATCTACACCCAAATGCTCTGCACCACATATTTCTACTCTGTATGTTTCTTTACATAAAATCATTTTCTCAGTATATAATCCTACTCATCTCTTTCCTTTTACCTATCCTTTTCCTTTTTAATAAAGTATTCCTTTCCAGAACCACATTCCAGTAACAGGTCCTATCCTCATAGAATCTCAGTGATACCTGTGATATCAAGTTTCTTCCTTGCTACTTATACTTTGTACCTTTATGTATAGATATCTGAGGTCATGCCCTTTATTTTTGGCTCTCTTCACAGGAGTTTGCCTCCCGTGAATTTCTGGGTATCTTTATTACTAATCTTCTTCCTACATTATAGTTATTCTCTATAGTATCTATATTGGTAGAATTAGTAGAATTCTCTCCTTTTAATTTAAAGTTCTTTTGATTGTATTTGCAAGACTTGAGGTGAATACATTCTTACCCTCTTCCTTTGACTATGTGCGTGCACATGTTCTCCATCTCTAGCCAGTAGCTTCTAATTCCTCTATTTTAATCTGCGGTTCAGAAATATAAATCTTATTCTCAGATACCATATTTTTAACCAACTGTTCTTTTCCCAAATCTGCCTTTCATTTTGATAAGTCCATTTCTTTTACTGGCAACAATTATGAAAATACCACTGTGCTCCCACAGTCTTCAATTTCTTGCCCAAGAATGAACGAGAATCTTTCCCTTTCTTACTCAAAACTGGGAAATGACATGGTGCGGTAGAAAGAGCCCTTCATTGAGAGTCACAAAAAGATAGAATCTTAGAAGGCTAGTGTTAGAAGAGAAGTTGGGAATCACCTAGGGGTGGGTTTGGGGTTTGTGCTTGGTCTTTTTTGTGTTCAAAGCTTTTAATCAACAGCTTGGATGAAACATGAGTGACATGTTTATCAAGGTTGTGGCTGACATGAAGCTGGAAGGGATAGCTAACATGTTAGATGGCAGAATCAGGATCCAAAAAGATCTCAACATGCTAGAATGATGGGCCAAATCTGACTTCAATAAGTCAGGGGAATCATGATGTCATTGGTGTGAGTTCTCCTTCCAAGGCTGCAGCCTTCCTGCAATCCATTGTTATTAAAGGCTAAATCTAACATGATGAAAGTTTATAGGGATAAGTGTAAAGTCCTATATTTAGGTTAAAAAAGATTCAACTTTATAAGTATTCTATAGGGACCATATGGCTAGACAACAATTAATATGAAAAAAAATCTCTGGAGAGTGGAATGGGGTTAGCTCATTATGAGTCAACAATAGGATGTGGCAGTCAAAACAGCCAGTACAAACATGCACTTCACTAGCAGAAGTGGAGTTCCTGGGGGATGGGAAGTGCTTGCCCCGCTGTTTTCTGCTCTTGTCGGACCACATATGGAGCTTGGAGTCCAGTTCTGAGCAGTATGTTTTAGCAAGAACATTGATGAGCATGAATGCATGTAGAAAAGAATAACCAGGATGGTGAGGGATCTCAAAACAATGCCATTTGAGGATTGGTTGAAGGGCCTGGGGCTATTTGGTCTGGAGAAGAATCAGGGGGAACATGATGGCAGTCTTCAAGGAGGATGTTATCATGGAGGAGAGGGATTAGATCTGCTTGATCCCTGAGGATGGAACTTGGGTTGAAGATGTAGAGAGGAAGATTTCTGCTCCCCATAAGGAAAAACCTCCTAATAATAGAATTGTCCAAAGGTAGGGTGAGTTTTGCCTCATAGGGTAGTGAGTTCCCCATTACTGGAGATGTTCAAATGAATGCTTGATGGTTACTTGTCAAGGGTGTTGTTGACCAGATTTCCTATTTGTGTAGGAGTTGGACTAGGTCATTTGTAAGGTTTCCTCCAACTCTTAATATTGCAGCTTTGATATTATTCAACTCTCACCTTTCATTGCGCTGGTCTCATTGAGTTATTACCCAGCTTTGTGACCTTAAACAAATCACCTGTTCTCTGGACCTCAGTTTTATCTCATTTGTAAAATCAGATGTTTAAGGGCAATATTTTCTATAGTACCTTCTAATCCTAATCGTCTATGTAATACAGATTCTAAGGTCTTTAAGGAGAGTTACTTTGTAACTTCTAAAACAGTGTTTTTCCAAATTTTTCAATCACATCTGTGAACCTGCTGAGTCTGCTCTCGATATATTGGCCAATAGCAAAGTTTGGGGTGGTAAAGAGTGTCTGTCTTTCAAATTCATCCTTAATAACAATTTATTGGTGTATCCAGTTGTCAATACACATCTTACCCAATGGTATTTTATGTATTTTATATAAATACCCAATGGTATTTATATATACAGGATGGTGGTCTCAAAATTTGGAAGACCTGGGTCTAAGTCTTGCATCTGACCCATCTGTGTGATCATGAGAAAAGCATTTAGCCACTCGGAGAATCAGGCAACTTTCTAAGACTCTCAGTTACAGACAGGTTGCCATGGCACCAGTTCCCTGAGTGTTGTTACACCAACAAAGAAACATGTCCTTGACATATTGACATATGTATGCGTATACAAGCAGACAAGCATCCTCCTTCCACCCCCATGACTATGATAACTTCTATTTTCCTCATCAAAAATTGTGCAAAGGATGGGACATTGAGACACACCTAGGACATTGTGATGCAGTATAGTGTATTAGGATCATAGGATTTCCATCTGGAAAGAGCCTAAAAGATCTAATCATGTAGGTGCCACAGTAGATAGAACACTGGGCCTGGAGTCAGGAACATGTGAGTTCAAATCCAGTCTCTGTTGATTAATAGATGTGTGACCCTTGGCAAGTCACTTAACTTCTGCTTGCCTCAGTTTCCTCAATACAAAATGGAGGTAATAATAGCACCTTCCTCCAACGGTTGTTGTGAGGATCAAATGAGATAATTTTAAAGTATGTAGCACAGTGCCTGACACATAGTGGGCACTATATAAGCACTAGCTATTATTATTATTATTATTATTATTATTATTATTATTAACAGAGGCATCTGTAACCTAAAGAGGTTGAATGATTTGTTCAAGGGCACCCAATGAATGGCAGAATTAGGATATGAAACTAGCTCTTCTAATTCCAGAGCCAATACTTTTTCCACTACACCTTGTACCATACAGGTTGAGAAAGCATAGTTGAGTATAAACAAATAGGCATTTAACATCTTTGATCAATGTCCTCATCTTCCCTCTCTGTCTGTCCTGCTTTCTGACTTTCCCCATATCTGTGAATGGCACCTTTATCCTCCTATTTGTCGTGATTTTAAACTCTAGCATTATCTTTGACTCTTTTCTTTTCTTCATCCCCACACAAGGTCATCTTTCAGGTTTTCCTTCTCAATATCCTTCATCTGTCCTCTCTTTTCCACTCATATTGCCAGAATGTTATTTTGGCCCCTCATCACCTCTTGCCTGGATAATTTATTTCAATAACCTCCTAACTGATCTCTCTGCCTCCATTCTTGACCTCAAAGGTTTTTTTCCTTGCATCTGTGGGCTAAATTTTTGGCCTCATGATCTCCCTTCTTCAAGTCATCCTTCAAAAAGTTGGCAAAAGAATCTTTCTGATCAATAGACAGCTCTCCAATGCCTAAAGGATTAACTGTAAACTTACAAACTTGGCCTTCAAGGCCCTTGACAATCTGTCTCCAACTTCTCTTTCAGCTTTCCCCCCTCTCCACATAATGCTCCTCATACCGCCCCCCCGCCCCCGCCACTCCCCACTTACATGTTCTAGCTAAACTGGGCTGCTTGCCTTTCTTGGATTTAATCTCCTCCTCTCATTCCTCCATTCATTCATGTAGCTTCCCCACCTATGCCTGGAACATGCTCCCCCAACATCTCTTAGCCATTTGAATCCTTTCCTTCTTCCACAGAACAACTGAGATCCTACTTCTTTCTTCCTTGATCCCTCCAAATAAAAGGGATCTCTCCCTGCTGAAGTTTCTAATAGCATCAGGTCTGGATCCTCTCTTTTGCCCCGTCCCACTCTATTTCAATCATACTCATTTATGCATGTATCAACCCCTTTCTAAATACTGCAAGTTTGAGGTCAGGGACCATATTATTGTTCCTCTTTCTATCTCCTTTAATGCTGAGTATTCTGCACTGCCCATAGTAGGTGCTTAATAAAAGTCTGTGGAATTAAAGTGAATGGTGATATCCCTTGGGATCTCTAATAGTATCTGTTTCTTCTACTGATGCCTGAGGAAGGACCTCAAACTGTTAACATGGGGGTCAATTAAACTAGTAGACCCAGCATTCAGAATGTAATTTAAGCTGAAAGTTTGTGTTGTCTCTTCAGTACAGTGGTAGCATCTTACCAGCTCAGAGCTCCTCAGATGATTGGTTTTCAATTCCTGGCCACCAATGCCTCCTTACAGTCCATGTGTTCCCCATAGCTTCCACAGTGGAGCCTAGAGATTCAGAGCTGGAAGAGATCATAGAAACCATCTCACTCATCTCCCTCACTTTGAGGATGAGCACATTGGGGCCCACAAAAGTGAAATGATTGGTCCAGGCTCAAGGGAGTAGCTGGGCCAAGAGTCATATCCAGGCTTTTGGATTCCAAATCATGTTTTCTTTCCATGATGTCATGCTGCCTTCCAACATTTCTTTTCTTCTCAACTAAATCATAATTGGTTTGAGAGCTGTTTATTACATTTGTTTTGTATGGTCCTCTTTCTCAGCATTATTCCTTAGTTGCATTTCACGGCTTTTGATCCAGCAAATATTTAATAACTATTAGTGCTTTTCAACAATTTCAAAGTACTTTGCAAACCTCTCTAAGTGCTTCTCAGTGATGATGGAAAGAGGAGTGGTGGCAGAGAGGGACCAATTCTTCCTCCTTTTACACACCCAAAATATAGAGGTGCAGAGCCAAGAAGTTTGCCCAAGGTTACCCAGTGGGACAGAGGTAAGAACAGAACCCAGACCTCCTGAATCATTGCCAGTGACCCTAGAGTACCATCTGCTGCAAGGAATATTGTACAAATTGCTGTGTCTTAAAACCAAAGAATTTGTATTTAACTACAACGAAATCGTCAAACATGAGAAGTGGCTGTCAATGTTTGGCCAGTCTTTATGGCTCTTCTGATCTTCAAGAAACCTCTCAGGACCTATTAACAGACAGACTTATTTATTAAAGCCAAAATGTTGTTCTTTCCTCCCTTCCTCCTCCCACTCCAGGGAATTGAAATTCAGAATTTACACATTTTTTTTTCTTTTTTCTTAGTAGTAGATTGCATCTGTATAGCACTTTACAGTTTACGGAGCATCTGACTTGGTAAAGAGAAGCCAAAACCCCGGGGAGGTAGGAGGTGTAGATATCATCACCCTCATTTTACAGGTGAGGAGCCTGAGGTTGAGAGGTCTTCAATGAATTGCCCACAGTCACATAGCCCGTGGATTTTAGAGCTTCGATTTGAACCTAGGTCTTCTGGCTAGAGTCCCATTGTTCTTTTTGCCATACCAGACTGCTTCTGACAACCAGTGTAACCAGACCTGTGGTCACCAAGCCACGACTCCAAAAGGGAAAATAGCTCTAGGGAAGCCATCCTGCTGGGAGAGACCTTCAGCAGTTGGTAAATAGGCTTAATAGGTTAATGGGTTGACTCCTTGGAAGCTATGAACAGGGGGTTGGGGATAAAGGGATACTTTCAGCTTCCTTTTACACAAGACCACATGGAGGGTGTGGCAAAGTATTGCCTTATTCATTGTTTGGTCCAGGGTTTCCATGAGGTTACAGTGGCCTTATGGAGCCACCATAATGGACTGGGTTTTCCCTGTTGGTTTTGGTTCCAGCTCCTACTCCAATGGACTTCCATGAAGATCACTCCAGACCACTGTCTTAGTCTTCTCTTCTCTCCATCTCTGCCTTTCCCTCATTCCACTTCTGCTCGATATACCTAACAACAGAATGGAAACGGAAACGGAAGAAGCTGGATTAAGTCCTCTGGGTTAGAGGGTGACCTAGTTGTTATTGCTTTATCTGGTGCTACACAGTCATCACATATTAAAGCCATTGAATCATAGAGATCAGGTAGTCACACACTGGTTTTTAAGGTGGGGCAGTTGAGGGCCAGAGAGAGGAATTAATGTGACCAAGTTCACGATCTAGGCAGGGAAGATTCAGGACAGACTCTGCACTCTGGACCAGGTGTTGGGGAACCTGTGACCTCGAGGCCACATGTGGTCCTCTAGGTCCCCAAGTACAGACAATCAAAGGGCCACACTTGAGGACCTAGAGGGCTACATGTGGCCTTGAGATGGCAAGTTCCCCCACCCTGCTTTAGGTCTAATGATGTAAGTTTGCCCAACAACCTTGGCTCCTATGGTACTCACTCAAAGCATAGATACTGAGATGCTATTTGCCGTGTTGTATAGAGTGCTAGACCTGAAATAAGGAAGATTCCACTTCTTGTACATATTTGTTGTGGAACTCGCAGGCAAGTTGCTGAACTTTTCTGAATGGATTTCCTTATCTGTAAAATAGTAATACTAGTACTTGTACTGCCTATCTCATAGATTTGTTGTGAAACTCAAGAGATAATGTAGTTTAAAGAGCTTGGCAAAATTCAAAGTGCTAGAGAAATGGCAGTTATTGTTACACTTACTGTTACTCATATTATTTTCATCTTGGTCTTCTTTTCTTTTCAGTGGAGCTCAGAGAGAAACATTCCTAGGACCAGTTTTGTTTCTGCTATCATCCTTTAATATTTTGTGCTCTGTGGACAATTGTGCAGGTGGATAGAATAACAATTTTTGTAATTGAATGAAAGTATTGGGTTGTAAGCTTATATGCACTCACTGAAAACATCTTTGGGACAACTCCAGTAGCAGACAGAATGACAAGCATAATGTGTACTTCATCCTGTTTGCATGTGGTTTTGATTTCTTCCAACAGCTTTGCATTCTACATAGTTCAGAGATTCTGAGTATTTGGTACGGAGACATCTATTAAAAAGGCCGTTCTTAAATTTTTATGGAATGATGTTATGTCTGATCTACTGCAGGCAACATTTTTATCTGTGATAATAATAATAACAATAAAAACTACTAACATTTATATAACACAACTATGTGCCAGGTACTATGCCAAGTGCTTTATAATTATCTCACATTATCCTATGATAACACTGATTCCAATATAGTTTGTTTTTGAATTTTCAAGTATATTTTCTAGTCTATATTTAGAACATAGGGATTTATTATCTATTAGTTTATGAAGGAAAGATATCTTTTGGTGTATAATTCTAGCCACCCAACTGTATCTTTTTCATTTGAAAATTTTTATATCCCCCCAAGTACATGTAAAAACAACTTTTAACATTTATTTATAAAATTTTGAGTTCTAAATTCTCTCCCTCCCTCCTTCCCCTCTGCCCTTCTTGAGAAAGCAAGCAATATGATATAGATTATAAGTGTGTAGTCATATAAAGTATTTCCACATTAGCCACGTTGCAAAAGAAAACAGACACCTCCCCCAAAAAACAACCCTGAGAAAAATTTAAAAAAGCTTTGATCTGCATTCAGACTCCATCAGTTCTTTCCCTGAAGGTGGATAGCATTTTTTATAAGTCCTTTGGAAATGTCTTAGATCATTGTATTGCTGAGAATAGCTAAGTCATTCACACTTGATCATCATACAATGTTGCTGTCCCTGTGTACAATGTTCTCCTGGTTCTTTGTACTCCATTTTGCATCAGTTCCTGTAAGTCTTTCCAGGTTTTTTTTGAAAGCATCCTGCTCATCATTTCTTATAGCACAATAGTATTACATCACAATCACATACCACAACTTGTTCAGCCATTCCCCAATTGATGAGCATCCCCTCAATTTCCAATTCTTCACTATTTTTGTACATGTAAGTCCTTTTCCTTTTTCTTCAGTCTCTTTGGAGTAGAGACCTAGTAGTGGTATCAGTGAATCAATGGGTACATATGCACAATTTCATAGCCCTTTGGGCATAGTTCCAAATGGCTCTCCAGAATGGTTGGATCAGTTCACAACTCCACCAACAATGCATTAGTGTCTCTATTTTTCCACATCACCTCCAACATTTGTCATTTTCCTTTTCTGTCATATTAGTCAATCTGATAGGCGCAAGGTGATACCTCAGAGTTGGTTTAGTTTGCATTTCTTTAATCAATAGTGATTTAGAGCATTTTTTGATGTGACTATAGAAAGCTTTGATTTCTTCTGAAAACTGCCTATTCATATCCTTTGATCATTTATCAGTTGGGGAACAAATTTGATTCAGTTCTCTAAATATTTGAGAAATGAGGCCTTTATCAGACAAACTTGCTATAAAATACCCGCCCCCCCCACCCAGTTTACTGCTTTCCTTCTTATCTCAGCTGCACTAGTTTTGTTTGTATAACCCTTTTTAATTTGATGTAATCAAAATTATCCATTTTATATCCTGTAATACGCTCTGTCTCTTGTTTGGTCATAAATTCTTCTCTTATCTATAGATCTGAGAGGTTGAAATATTCCATGCTCCCCTAAATTTGCTTATGATATCACCCTTTATCTCTAAATCATGTATCCATTTTGACCTTATCTTGGTATATGGTGTGAGATGTTGGTCTATACTTAGTTTCTGCCCAACTGCTTTCCAGTTTTCCCTGTAATTTTTGTCAAATTCTTGTTCCAAAAACTTGGATCTTTGTGTTTATCAAACACCAGATAACTATGGTAATTTACTGCTGTGTATTATATACCTAATCTATTCTACCAATCTACCATTCTATTTCTTAACCAGTACCAGATTGTTTTGATCTTTGTAGCACAGATCTCTACTGTTAGGCCACCTTTCTTCACATTTATTTTTCCATTGATTCCCTTGATATCCTCAAGCTTGTGCTCTTCCAGGTGAATTTTGTTATTGTTTTTTCCTAGCTCTATAAAATAATTTTTGATAGTTTGATTGGTATGGCACTGAAAAAAATAGATTAATTTAGGTAGCATTGTTCTTTTTATTATATTGGCTTGGCCTACTGATGAGCAGTTGATATTTCTCTAATTGTTTAGATCTGACTTTATTTGTGTGAAAAGTGTTTTGTAATTGTGTTCATATAGTTCCTGTGTTTGTCTTGGCAGACAGACTCTCTGGTTGTATTTTTCTAGGTATTTGGTAGGGACTGATTTTTTTTTTTTTGTATCCTGAATACGTTGGACAGTTTCTGCCATTTCCTTGCATAAATAATCCACATCATTCATTAAATCTAGGCTATTTAAGGCTATGTTGTTCAGTTGTTGCAGTCCTATATGATTCTCTGTGATCCCATTTTGGGGTTTTCTTGGAAAAGATACTGGAGTGGTTTGCCATTTCTTTTTGCAGCTTATTTTACAGATTAAGTGACTTGCACCTGGGGTCACACACCTGGGGTCACACAGCTAGTAAGTATCTGAGACCAGATTTGAACTCATGAAGATGAGTCTTTCTGGTTCCACCTAGCTGCTCTGTTGAATAAATGAATGTAAAGGAGATGAGACTGGAAGACTGAGAATAATTGTCAGGAAAAAAACCCCTCGGTTTTCACGGTGTCCTGATAGAGAAGACTGTAAGAATTTGGGACAGGCTCCTCTTCTGGAAAAGGGTGACCTGTGGAAAGTTTTGATAACATAACCCCTCCCCCCATGTCAGCTTGTTCCTGCGGAACATTCATGTGATGATCCTGCTGATTTCAGCCTGGGTCTACTGTGAGCCTTGAAGGACTGCCCTGGGCTAGCTCTAGGCTTAGCTCCTCTGTCATCAAGCCTAATTCCTCAATGTGCACCCATGGTGAAAAGCCAAGGTTCTCCCTGCCCCCACTCCACCCCTCCTCCATCTTCCCTACCACACCAAACTCAAAACCCTAACCCCTGAAACATTCCTCACAGGCCTGAATAGCTGATCCCTTTTCCAGTTCATTGAATCCCTGCAACACTTAACCCCTTCCCTGCCCCCTTCCAGGAGGGCTGATTTGGATCCTCACTAACCTTCCTCATTGCCATGGGAAGACTACTGGGGGTACGGAGAAGGGTGCAGCTTGGGTAGGGTGGCTGAGGATGGAAAACAAGAGCCCTGATGGCAGAAAAATCTGTTTGCCTTGGCAACCCAACCTCAGACCTGGAGCCAAGGTTCAATCCATCTTAATGATTGACTTTCTTGAAGTGCTGGGCTTTCTATTCTCCTTGGCTCTGTGTCTGGGTAAGGTGTTTGTTGGGAAGGCAAAGTGTTGAAGCCATTACTTTCCTTAGGCCTGAGGCCCCTGTTCCTTCTGCCTCAAAAGCTAAAGTTCAGTCCCCCTCCAGGAAGACCACAACACAAGAGGCTTTGTTTTCAGGTACGACCACACTATTCCATTATTAAGGGAGCAGGGACCTAGCTCACTGAGTCTCCACCCATCCACCCTGGGGAGGGTCCAGCTAGGAGCTTTCCATTAGAGCAGATAGTTACCTCGAAAGGGTGCAGCCCGGGGAGGAGTTGTCCCCCACCCTTCTTCACTTCAGTACTCCACAAACAGGTGTCTAGGGTCAACCTTGGAGGCTTCCATCAGGGCAGATATTCACCGGGAGGACTTGCTGTCCAGGGAGGGCTCCTCCCACACTCTTGCACCCATACACAGCATTGCCCCACCCTGCCAGATCAAGCTTGGGGGCTTCCATCAGGGCAGACATTCAGAGGGATGGCTGCTCCACCCTGTTTGCCTGCATAACATTTCCCCTCCTAGTCCTACGTGGCCCTGCCCTGCACACAGGTGTCTGGGAGCTGCAAAACAGCTGGGCTCCAATTAAATAATCTGTCCCATCTGAGCCACCCAGAAGCCCTTTCTGCATTTGAAATGTCTGCTGAACAAGGTGAGAAGTGGAAAGCTGCTTCTAATCCCCCGGTCTGTTGGTCATTCCTGCCTATGTCTCTTTAGTTAATCAGACAATTTAGAAAAGTACATGCATCTGTGGTTTGGGGGGGGGCGGGGAGGGGGAGAGGAAAGGCCTTAGCTATTGTAACAAACAGGGAATCCAGGGCCCGGCTAAATAAATTAATAAGTCTCCCTGTGGACCCCACCCCCACCCCAAAACCAGCCGTGAATAGCAATAGAGCAGTATTCTAAGCTGTGCCTTTGTCCACTGTCCTTGTTTGCGCCCCATTGCCTCAAAGCCAGCTCCCCTGCACGTCCTGAGCCCTGGGCTGTAATTTCACAGGGAGGCTGCCTGCCCTCACAGCCAGCCCAAGGTCTTTACGAAGTGCTGCTAGCCAAATTGGATTTGCACAGTTGGATGGGGGAACTGGCATTTTCCTCAGTGTGGCTGCATCCCGAGGTCTCCCGTGGGGTTGACCTTGCCCACCCAAGAGACTTGTCCACGTTAGCTCAGGGAGACAGGATTCTTGCCTGCCCAGTTCTCTTTTGAAAACTTTATCACACCCTGGGATTTGGGTTAGGGAGTTCCAAAATGGGAATGGGGAGAGGCTTGGGGGGGGCAAGCATGACCACTTCTAGACCCCCAGGCCCCTTTAAGACTGACAGGTCTAACAATAAGGGGTCTGTCCCAAGCAACTTGGTCGCATGCCATGTCTTAATGAGAGCTTTGCACTTTCCATCCCTGGCAGTAGGACAACTCCCATGCCCTTATAATCCTCTGTGGAGGGGCTTTGGCCCTCTTGAAAAAGGTAATGGAATTGGGTATCAGACTGAATGACGTGGATGGCAGGCCACCAAGACCATTTTATCAAGGCCTGTTGGAGAAAATGTATTGAGGTCAATCGTCTGATTGTTCCTCAGTTCTACACAGGCTTACCAGTTATCTCTGCTGCTCTTTTGTCCAGGAAAAGGATGGAATATTGAAAAAAGCCCTGGATTCTAAACTTGGCTTTATCATTAACATGCTAT